GTAATTTAACATTATCTTTTGGGATGTTTCCATACCCCTTTTGGGGTTGCTATGTATGTGATTTGGATGATGCACTGTGCGACCCATGCATTTCGCAAGACATTTGCCTTTTCCCTGTTTGTATATCAGTTTTACCCGATGGCTCTGAGCGCGAGGAGACCGAATGGGATTGGGATAGGCAACCCTACCTGAACCAGGAGCGGCAGTTTTCATTGTTGTTAGGTCTGATCAGGGATACATAGAATTATATGGACAAGTGGACAGGTGACAAGACATATGAATCCCATGTATATAATATCATACAAATCATACGAAGCCCATATGTGTATAGGAGTGGGGCTACGACACTGACGTCAAGACTGACAAGCTGACGGACAAGACAGAGAGTGGGTCATGGGTGCCTTACAAAGGACAAGAGGTTTGGGTTGTGCCAGGCAAGTTGATGTGCTGTGACGACACCAAGTCTTGCTCACACTACTGCCCATTTGGGCCTGGTTGCGAAATGTGTGACAAACTTGACAAGTGTGTAGTCCCTACCACAGACCTTTCCCCAACGGACACACCGGGGTCGGACGAAGTGTCTTTGGCTGAGACGATCCCGGACAGCCCCGAACCCACAAATTGGATCGACTATTTGAGAATTCCTAGGGACTTGGAGAAAGCATTTGAGAATGACAGTGGTTTGGATCTGATGTGGGAAATTTACAGGGCACAGGAGAAGATCGAGAAGAGATTCCCTGAATTCATGGGCTGGCTTCACACTGTGTATTACGATGTGCCAGAAGGCTATGTCTGGGGTCTCCCCGAGAATGACCCACTTGAAGACTTGAATGACTTCTTTACTTTCCTTGTTCAGAAAGGCCATGGAAAGTACGAGGAAACCGATGCGCCAATGGAGGTGGAAATCCCAGGTGACCACCGCTTGGTTGATGAACGTGGGGTGCCTGAACCTTTGGGAGAGCCTGTGATGCACTAACAGTCATCAACAATTTCATAAATATAAATATATATATCAACTGCTGATGTCATAACATGTAGACACATTATAAAACATAAAAGGTCATCATCATTTCTCACACACCCACCATCTGTAATGAGGACAAAACTGCTGACACGGAGGGCAACAGCTATGAAGCAAAGGTCGATGATTCATGGTGGTCTGGTGATGAGTGTCATGATCATGCCCCCGACACGGCCGAACATGAGGTGAACGAAGCGACTACAATTTCCGCCGGGTCTTACTTGGAACTTGGCTCTGCTGGCTGGGATGAGTTTGATGATGATGGCCACATTTGGCCTACCGAAACCTGTGCTGTTGCAGATCCTAGTTGTGACGAACAGGATTGGGAGGACAGTGAGAGTACCCTCGACCCCGAAGACCCCAACCAAGTTTGGAAGGACACTGCTATGGACCAGAGTTCATGGTGGGAGGGTGGACGTGCCCAAGACCCAGACCAAGTTTGGGATGGTGAGACTGCTGTGGACCAGGGTTGGGAAGACGATGTCACTACCCAGGTTGAGAAGTACCCCAAAGACCCAGACCAAGTTTGGGATGGTGAGACTGCTGTGGACCAGGGTTGGGAAGACGATGTCACTACCCAGGTTGAGAAGTACCCCAAAGACCCAGACCAAGTTTGGGATGGTGAGACTGCTGCGGACCAGGGTTGGGAAGACGATGTCACTACCCAGGTTGAGAAGTACCGCCAAGACCCAGACCAAGTTTGGGATGGTGAAGCTGCTGTGGACCAGGGTTGGGAAGACAATATCACGACGCAGGTTGAGAAGTACCCCCAAGACCCAGATCAAGTGTGGGATGGTGAGACTGTGGATGAGATGTACCCCCATGACGCTGACCATGCTTGGACAGACACTGTGGACACGGGTTCATGCTGGGGTGACAATGTGACTACACAAGAATCGTGGGACCATGAGGATCCAGACCAAGTTTGGAATGAGAGTGTGCCTACTGCTGTGAACCAGGCTTCATGGTTGGAGGACAACGCTATGGCTGAATATGACTGTGACGACCAGGACATTCCAAAGACAGGACGTGAGCTTGACCAGTGGTGGTCCGACTCCGCTGCTGACCAGGATTTGCAATGGGGTTTAGTGGACCAACCTGATGTCGACATGTCGGACGACTCCCAGGTGACTGCTGAGTGGCGGAGTGGCCCCAGCTCTGCAGGGGGTGCTGAGAACCATGCTTTGGGTTGGGGTTCGGGGAACGAAGACGAGTCCTATCTAGCTACAAAGGTTGCTAAGAAGGACAAAGACAATCAAAAGTTTCTTCGTGAGCTTGATGCCGCAAAGGGAAACGCCCCGAAGGACCCCGATATATAATGTACACGGTCATTGAACAATGCCACATTTCTCCATCCTACCATGTGTTGGTGGTTTCAACATGTTGAAACACCTGCAGGATCCATGGGTGAAGGCTACGCCTGCCGATGCCCCGCTTGGGACCCCAGTTGAATCAGCTTTCATCAAAGCGCAGCCTTTGAAAATGCATAGCCAAAAGTAACAAACCCAAATCACACTTCCATGTCATTGGCTTTCCATCTCAGCATGCCTCTTTTCATATCTGGTTTGACTCTTAGGCCAAGTGGTGGCAAACGCAAGGATTTGATCTTTACTGCAGTGTTTGTGTGTGTGTGTGTTTATTGAGGTTCTTGATGCATATATACTCTATATGCTACTAGGTATTATACATATATATATAAATGCGTGTGTGAAAGCAAATATAATGAAGTTTCCCTTTTCACTGAAGCGACCCAACATTAGGCCAAGCAGCTTGACACCATGCTCCGGTTTTGCTCTTGTCCAGGAGACTTCCAAAGATCGATCGACCAAGGGTCCTGCACCACGGCGGCATCAAAGTTCTCAACTGTCCCTGTTGGCTACATACCACCAAATTTTCAGAAAATTTCCATCACTCAAACAATCTTATGGGAACAGACTGGAGATCTGTACCGTAGTTGCTTTCAGGCAAACCATTTTTGTATCTAAGGCATCTTTCAACTTGAAGCCGAGAGAGCCAGTATCCGAAATCCCACCTGCTATCCTGAAAAGGTGCTTTGGGAAGCAAGCACCTGTTGTACCACACAGCCAACGGCTGTTGGCTGCAGCAACTAAGGAGGCAAAGGGACCAGGTAACGGGAAGGCTGAGGGAACAGACAAAGGGAAGACTGCAAAGAAAGCCAAGACTAAGCAGACGAAGCCCAGAGAGAAGAAGACTAGCAAACCGAAGACAAAGACTGAGAAGAAAGCTGCAGAGCCAAAGAGAAAGACCCCCTACGCCGAAGCAAAGGATCTGTTCATCAACAAGTTCCAAGTCCGAATTAGCTAATTGGGAATCCCCATCAGGTTGGCCCCAACCACTGAAGAAACACAAACATATTTGCATGGCCCAGCGGTGGAATCACAAGTTTGGGAAAATAACATTTTTTGTCCTTATTCCAAACCAATCCGTGAGGGTAAGGCACGGTAAGGCATTTTGCATTCAAGTCCAGCCTGTAATCTTTGCAAATCAACCTGGCTATCTAAGGTTGAAGGGCGATGGTGTTCCTTCGAAGGAGAGGGAACAAAGGCAGCTTATCAGCATGAGTTCTGTATTTTATTTGGTGGTCAAGAACATCCGTGGTCAAGAACGTCCGATAATCATTCCCATATAGTCCCATTCCCTGAATAGTAACAACCCTGTGTAACAACCCCTTATCATGATCATAGATATGTAGACCTCCTTGCTGGTGCTTTTCTGGTGGACATGATTATATGTTTAGTGACTGCCAAAGCCAGGTGGAAGGACAGTGCGGAACGAGCAGCCATTGTTGATGGTCTGCCTATCACTGAACAAAGGCGTAGAAGGTATGTATAGGCAAAATTGTTTGCCCAATGGTTTGCGCTGCGGAGCAGCTTGGTTTCATGTGCCAACGCGATGGCAATTTACATGACGCAGGGTCAGCACCTGAGCTGATTAGCTTTTGCTGGTCTTTCAATACAAGACCGTACTTTCTTTCATGTGGGGTAGGCTGGATGTGCAAAGCTGCCCAGTCCAAATCTTTGAAGAACGGGGAATGGGGATCGACGAGAAAAAAATGTCACTCAGACCCGCGGGTCCTCTCAAACACGGAGCTAGCTTCGATGGCCAGTTGCAGTAGCATAGTTGCAGTGCTGCTGGATCCTCAGATCCCAAGGGTTGCGATGCAGTTTAGAGGCTCTCAGGGCCCACCACCCAAAAACAAAACGTAGATACAGGGTACTTCATCGGTCATCCTGGGTCGAAGCCATGCGTTATAGTCAACTGGCTATTCTGCTCACATGCCTGGTGAAAAGCTTCTTGGCAAGAACATATTTTTGGTGATGCAGTTCCCCATGTTGGCAGTTCAATTCAACCCAGGATCAATTAATTGGGGCGCCAAAGATGTCAAAAGGGAATACACTATGTATGGGAATCCCCTGCAACAACAAAGCGTTTGCCTTTTAAAGTGGGACCAACGTAAGGGAACCACAAAAAATAGTCCCGGTAACCGACCAGTGGATATTGGAGAGAACCATGCAGCGGCCAAACATTATTGCGGGATGCCCATGTTACATCATCCCATGTTCGTCAAAGTATTCAGTTCATTTTTTAAACACCTATCAAGGGCTTATGCCGTTCTCGCTGCGCCAGGTCTGGACGAGGTGCCGGTTGACCAGCAATGCCATTTTCTCGAAGTCTTTGCAGGCTTGGTTTTGGGAAACAAAACAACACAACACCAAACAGAAGCAGCTCTAGAGCGAACATACACACTTTGAATATCATTCTGTTTTTTAAAACCCTTTGCCACGTAATAGAATAGGCAGCGCATGTCGCGTGGCGCATCGCGTGGTGTGTATACTAGTGCCCGTCATTATCACTAATTATTTCATTTTGACCCGTGAGCTACAGTCACTGTTTTCCTATGCCAGGTGAACATGTCTTGCACAGTGGTGTGCAGCTATCCAATTTGAAAAGCAGGGCTATGGATGAAGCCTGGCTGCACTAGCTGTGGGATTTTGGAAATGCCCCCAAAGCGGAGTACCGAACAAAATGGCAAGTCACCCGGGGAAGTGGTAAAACTCCATGTGTTGCAAGCCCATTTCCAAACAAGCCGTCCTCAGGTAGAATACAGCCGGAAAATGGATCTGCTCACAACTTTCGGATTTATCCTGGCCGTAAACTACGTTGCTTGGTTCGCAATGTTCGCCCGATATTTTTTCAATCACGTTGTCCTGGTATGCTTTCCAAAAAAATGTTCCTCAAGATGGTCATGGAATTCAAGATCAACATGTCGACACCCTGGTAATTTGGCTTGGAAATGGCTACTTAGGTGAGGCACGTGGTCCGAGCAGGAGTAGCATGGTTCGCTATACCCTGTTCGTCATGGGTGTTCATGCAGCTTGGGTTCAAGATTTACTGAACACCAAGTGTATACCAAATATCAGAACTTATATATCTATCTGTATATGTGAGTGATTGCAATATGTCGGCTAAGGTCGCAAGGGTCTACGAAGAGGCATGTGCTGAGGCCAAAAGGTTCGACCAAGATGAGATCTACCAGTGAAGGTAGCCGCCTTGCAAGGAGGCTTATGTACCTGCCCTGCCCTCAACAAATATATATTGTATTTGAAAACACCACGCTTTTTGGGAATAGCTCGACTATAGTGACTATATGGTCCCAGGATGGAACTTTGCTACAGAAAAGGAATCTTCTATGTGGTGGAACAGCCCATCAGCTCGCTTCTCTTTCAATATGGCCCAATGCGGAAGATGTTGAGACGCCACGGGGCTTGCCGGGTGACGACATGGTTGGGGGCGTTCAATGCCCAAACCCTTAAACCAGTTCCCTGATTGCATGCAAACATTTGAAGAAGTGAAATCAAAACAATGTTGATTAGTTCACCTCTCCTCAGGTAGTTCTTTGGGGAACATGTCCCTTCCTGGAAAAGCTGATCGCCCAACCATCAAAGTTGAAAAGGTGGGGAAGTTAACACATGCAAGGTTCTTCCTCCCAGTGCTTTGCCAATCACGTGGCCCGGCCCACAGGATGCAAATTCGTCGCATAAAAAGTTTCCTCGGCTTGGAGACGGTTCGAGTCTACGTTGACTCTTCTGGTCGAAAGCGGTGTGTCAGGGACCCTGGTTCCTTCAGGGATTCTGTTTTTTGGGCTTTAAAATTGTGCCACACGTTGGCAAGAATTTGAAAACATCATCCATCAATTTGAATTCAGTTCAGCATGCTCTACAATTGGAATGGAGCTGAACTGGGACTGAATTGAAAAGGGTGTCACATACATATATATATATATATATAAGCAATTGTTTGTTTTACTGTACCATCCTTCAAAGTATCAATTCGGGATATATATATATATAATATATTCCACGCCTGCGGTTAGCAAACAACCAGGCCATCTACAAAAATTGGCAAATTCCAACTGTAAATCCAAATCCTATCTGGTTTCGTCACCTGGGATTGGTCCTATACCCGCGAAAGTCGAATGTTCAAACTTGACCCTCAACACGATATGTTCGGTGTTGGGGTTCGATTTCACATCCTTTTAGCTAATTTCACCCCTTCTTCATGGCCTTTAGCCCTGAGGCCGGAGGCCGTCACTTGAAGGGGACGCAGTGCTACCCGGGAAATTTGGGGCTAAAAGTGGTCTTGGCTGCATTCATTTCACCGCGTGGGTGGTATCACATGACGATCAGCTCCCCCCTTGGGGTGTAAAAGTATAGATAGATCGATCGATCGACCGATAGAGATACACATGTTTACAAATGAAACGCATTTTTACAAAGATACATAGATTCCTAGATCCATTGTGAAAACACAAAGATGCATAGATACATGGATACACGCATATATATATGTATATATATATATGTATATATGTATATATATATATCAGAAACAAAACACACATGCATATATATATATATATACACACATACACACATACGCACATACACACATACACACATACACACATACACACATACACACATACATACATACATACATACATACATACATACATACATACATACATACATACACACACATATATATATATGCGTTCACATAGACATACAGATACATACATACAGATAGATACATACATACAGATAGATACATGCAGATAGATACATACATACATATTTGCATTACATTACATTACACTACATTACATTACAGACACGTGTAAAAATAGCTATACATATATATATATGTATAAATACAGAGAGATCTTTACACACCTATTTACATATATACATGTTCTCACATGAGCATGCACAAACATATACATATATACAATATAGAAAAATGCATACGGCATATATACACACCTTTACATGATTACATAGACATGCGTACGCAATGAAATGTTTGTAATCTACATATATTCTTTCACGTGCATACAAATATAATCAAATATTTAATAAATAAATATGTGTTTAAATCTATCTATCCATCCATCCGCCCATTTATCGATCTATCTATCTGCCTGTCTATCTCTCTATCTATCTATCTATCTTTCTGTCTACCTGTATATTTTTATGTTAATTTGTAAGTATGTTTATATGTACATACGTATATTTGTATCTGTGTATTTACGCACCATGTGTATATGTGTATATGTAAAGATCTATAGATATATGGATGCAAAGTCGTATAGATCTATACATATATTTGTCTTTAACTGTATATAGATATATGGGTATATGTCTATCTATATATGTTTTGCATGTGCTCTATTTCTTGGGGTCCGGTCTATATCTTGAATCAGCACATGGATGGAACAAATCCGTTGCAGAACCCAAATCACCTCGGGGCCCTATTTTGTAGCTAGACACAATTGGTAGGACATATCAGGATGTTGATCCCTGCGATGTTTTGGTTTACATTTCCAGACTTCAACAGCCGGCCCTTCCACGATTTGCGGCCCTGGCCCAGGTTGGCGAAGAGTTGAAGCGCCACCTCCTTAGTCTTCCTCCTAGCTCTGTCCTGCCAGATCAGGGCATGGTGTTTCAGGATTTTGATGGTGGCGAGTCAAGCGACTCAAGGTTAGAAAGCATCCTCTAAAACAATTTGAAGAGGAGCCTAATTGGGCATTTTGACACTTCATCGGCATCGGATCAATATTTCAGCAACAAAAATAAAACCAATAGGTATACTGTGCCCTTTTACTTGTGATGTGTCTGCATGGAGTGTTCTGTCCGTTTAGCCTGACCAGTTTCCAGAGGCTTCTGTGCAAAGAAACAATTTCCGTGCTATGATCATGCGACATGAAAATGTGGCATTTCATGTCGCTGCTTAACTGCCACATGGCACACGAGCAACCCTCATGAGGCATGTTTTTGTGGCAATTTGTGTCATTTTCGTGGCAATCCAAAATTCTTGATGAAACAGCGTTTTGTGTCATTTCGTGGCATTTCGTGCCAACGGCGCGATATGTGACATGAATTCGTGGCATTTCGTGTCAGCCACCCACCACCATGTGCAACCACCAGTTTCCGATTTTTTGTGGCAATTTGTGTCAAGGACTGTAGGTTCAGCCCGAAATCCATACACACCGTTGCACAAACATGTCAGAGCCCTTGTCCTCCACGGAGGGTTCAGCCGCGCCAGCTTCCGAAGGGAAGTCCTGCAGCAGCAAGGGTGCATCAAAAGGGAAAGGCAAATTTCCCATGGTGAAAGGTGACCTGCCCCAGAAAGGAATGGGTAAGGGTGTCTACAAGGGCAAAGGCTCTCATGGGGATGCCAACGGGTCCAGTCCAGGATCTAAGGGTGTTGGAAATGGAGATGCCAAGGGATCCAAGGGTCCAGTTAGCCCAGCTGAGCCGAAAGGATCAAAGGGTGTTGGAAAGGAAGATGTCAAGGGGCCCATGGGTCCTAAAGGAAAGGGTGTTGGGAAAGGAGATGGGAAGGGTTCCAAAGGTACAGTTAGCCCAGCGGAACTTGAAGTTGGAAAAGGATATGCCAAGGGGTTGAAAGGTCCAGGTAGGCCAGGTGTTGGAAAAGGCGATGCCAAGGGGTCCAAGGGTCCAGCCAGCCCAGAGGAAGGAAAGGGAAAAGGAGATGTCAAGGGGTCCAAAGGTCCAGCAAAAGGAGATGCCAAGGGGTGCAAGGGTCCAGTTGGCCCATTGGATCCTAAAGGTGTTGGAAAGGGGGCAGGGATGAATGCAAAGGGAAAGAAGGGTGGAGTTGGGGAAACGAAAGGAAAAGGCAAGTCTGGCAACGGATTGCCGCCTGGAAAGCCGGCTGAACCTTTGAATGACGGAGAATCTTATTTGCATTTTCCACATGCAGCTCCCTCCAATACCTTTCTTTCGTTCCTGAACACAAGCATACTGTATGCCTGCTAAAAGGCCCATCGATGAGTAGGTTTTAACTTTATATACAAGGACATTTTTTATATTCTTCAAACTTCAACGTTGCCTTTAAGGAGAACAAGGATGACCACACGAATGTCACGTCACAGCCCGAGAAGGTCACGCCGGAGCCCAAGCCCAGTGAGGAACCACCTGCTCCTGCGAAGGATTCTCAGCCCATGATCATGGAGCCCCCTCCCGCGATGTTTAGCGGCTATGGTTCGATGACCCCAGAGGATATGGAAAAGCATCCTGCTGTTGTGATGCAGGAACATGAGTCCAAACTTAGAACTTGGTGCAAGGGGCAGACACAGAGAGATTTGATGGGCCATATGAAGAAGATTGCAGGGCATGCGTACTACGACAAGTTTATGTCTCAGTTCAACAATCGAATGTTTGGTGAAAATGGTTGGACGGATCTTGTGGAATTTGACCTTTGGTTGAAGAAATGTGAGATTTCCGAGAAGCTTGGGAGAGCCAGGCCTGTATTGCCTTCTCCCCCTTCAAAGGTGACAGCCGAATCAGCCGAGCCAGCCAAGCCAACCAAGCCACCCAAGTCAACCAGTGTTGAAACCAGTGACAGCCTGCCTAGCCTTACCCCTGAAGAAAAGGAGAAGTATGATGACTACTGGAAGCAGTTCAAGCCGTCTTGCGAGTCACCAGCAGCCTCACCTTCAGGTTCTGTGCCTAGTGCTACTACAAAGACCCCTGACTGCAAGAGACGCTTGGACCTCGGGGAAGGACTTCGGGGGTGTCTGTGCAAGTGCAAGTATGCATTTTTTTGGGGTCATGTTATCAATCCATGTTTGGAGTACGCTATATAGTGTGTTCAAGTGGCCAATGTGTCCAGGAGAGAGCGGTGAAAAGGCACCAAAGTTTTGTCCTTAGTTTCGTTGTCAAGCTCTGATCTGTACATGTTTTACTCCCAACTGTGGACAACATTCATCAGTTTAAACTTACCTCGCATGAGGCCTGGAATCTTGCGACGCAGTACATCTGTCTGCAGCGATGGCACTGGAGATGTTCCCATGGACAAGTTAGCGGAAGGGAATGGAAAAACAAGACGGGTCAGGGGCCTATATATTGGTTTCCCAAAGTTTCCGCACTGTCTTATGACATGTATCATATTTTTCTTAATTTTATGTTGGTACCGTATACACCACTTTGCCTAGGTGAAGCTGTTGACACCAGAAGATGCCAACAGAATCAAGGCAGGCAAGGGCTTCGATAAATGTCCACTTAGCAATTCAAAATACCTTTTGGTATATACAGGTGTTTTGCTAGGTGAACTGGTCGGCATTGACAAACCTACAAAAATATGATACCTAGCTACCAATCAGTATGCTGGGATGAGATAGTGGCATTTTTCAAAGCTTACTGTAGATGTTTTCAAGTTTCATCCCAAATGATCCCCAGGCGATGACTTCTATCGAAGATCTGGACCCAGCGGAAAGGAAGAGACAGCGGGAAGCCTTGCGACGCCGCATGCAGCAGCCAGGCACTCGTCATCTTGAAAAGTATTGGGTATTCAATCCCTTCCACACATCCCTCGACAGTAAATTGGACTTATATTCATTTTGGATGCCTATAAGGGAAGATATGGTGAGAACTAGAACCATATATATATAAATAGGAGTTAAGAACAAAGCAATTTGGCTGGCGTGAGATATATGTCTTTGTTTTTGTTGAACCTAGTCCGGGTATAAAAGAATTCACCATCTCTGGCAGGTTTGCGTCCTGGCCTTTTGCAAAAGTACCAGAATGCCAGCACGAGCGATGAGAAGTTTCAGCTTCTCAAAGCTTTTCTTTTAGACCCTGTGTCTTTGTCAAGTGTGACCATAGAGACATGCTATGAGGAGATGGCAGAACACGCAGACCGTTCGCAGTGGATCGAAGTCCCGCTTAGCGTACTGAGGCGCCAGTATACAACAGATGCAGAGAAACGCTTCCTGGAAGAAAAAATCGTCAAGGTCCAGAGTGGCCGAAATCACCCCCAGGATCCCCTGGGGGAAGACCCCGAAATGAAACTGTACTGGGTGTTCCAACAGAATACAGACGAGAAAAACAACAAGACGGCTGTGGGGCATAGAATGGTTGCTTCTGCCCGTGTGCCGGTTGAAAACAAAGCCGCAAGAACTGCCATGGCAGACCACGTTGTTGCCAAAGGTGCTTCTTTTGGTGGCAAAGGTGCAAGTGCGGTGACTGATGTGGGAAAGGGAAAATCAAAAGGTAAGGCGGCAAAGGTTAAAGCGGCACCCAAGAAAAGTCCCAAGGCGGGGTTTTATCGAACTTGATGCAAACAAGCTTTAGAACGCTGGGAAAACATCCCACACTTTACTATGTTGCTACCTCTGTGGATTTCCCCAGGGTTCACAAACTGATCTAATGCTTTGTATATTTAAACGTATGGGTACGTAAATATCTGCATCGGATTTTGACTACATATTATATGTACACACGCACATATATATATACACACATAAATTTATATATACACATATATATATATACATATATATACACACATATATTTATATACACATATATATATATATATACACATATATATACACACATATATATATATTTACATATATATATTTACATATATATATATATGCACGTATATGTATGTATATATGTATGCATGTATGCACATTCATGCATAAAAAGAATATCAGTACAACATATTTTGCCATCTGTCCTTGGTCATGCATGGCCATCTCTGCATTGCAGCCACCATGCCCACGTTTCCTCAGGTGAAAACAGCTGAGGAAATCGAGAAGGCAACGTTCAAGAGCAAGTTGGATCAGTGCCGACCCCATATAGGGTTTACTCAAGAAGGCGCAAGCATAGTCATTTTGTGGTTTGTTGTGTAGACTCCTTTATACTTGGGGTGATTCAAGTCTAAAAAAATGCACGTAATTGATAGTTAGAAGGATCTCTTATTGCGGATTCCGCATGCACGAGCGACGCTGTCTTGATTGAACCACCCAAGTTTGAAAAACATGTGCCCTGCTTTTTGGGTTTTTACTTGCATCTTCTTCATGAAAAATGTCTTGTCTCCTGATTTGGGGGTGACCCTAAAAGAAACAAATCGATTGATGTTAACATGATCTAGCCTCACCTTGAACCATTTTCATCCTTCCCCAGGTGTTCAAAGCTGGCTGGAAAAGCACGAACGACAGCTAGCGCTTTGAGGGAAGCTGGCATTCCTCACCAAGAGGCCATGTTGTTTTCAAAATTCATCCCATGAAACAAAATGTGAGCATCACTTATCCAGGCGAATGGAAACGGTTGTTTGAATTTTCTTTTCCATGAAAAATAGTTTATGTACACGACCCGTCCAGGCGATTGTCAAAAGCCTGGGCACCGCCTACTCAACCTTGACATCGCTGGTCCAGAAGTAGGGGACTCAATTTCCGGAGCTCCAATTTTTAAAATATAGTTGAATTGTTTGCTAATCTTGTCGGAAACCCTGTGGGCGAATTTCTAGGTATTGAACAGCAACTATTAACATTGCAAACCTTTTCCAGATTCAGTATGGCCAACCAACTTTCTTTAAACTATTGGGTTGTCTCAATGAGGATTTCCGACGACATCTTCAAGTCCGTCCCGTTCGAGACCTACAAGCAGCGTTACGATGACAACGAGAAATACATCGAGGACCTTACCCTGGATCTTTGACGGCACACATATATAATGCCCCATCGTTATTTAGATGTTCTTGCGCAGGCAGAATTTTACGAGTACAACGTGGGATAAATAGACCAAATAGATCTAAATACATCTTGAAACATTCATAAATTCAGAGAGATGTCCGGGTGACTTCCCACAATATGTACACACGTATTCCCACCATCCACAAATGGCTAAATTTGCCAGGACGCAGTGCAAGAAGTCCAAGCTGCCAATTCGATCATTGAGAGCCACGAGAGACGTTGGGGTCCCAAAATGTGCCAAACCGTGGTCAACAAAAACACCAGAAAACCGATCGGGTTTGGGCTACTATGTTTGCCCTCTTGGAACTTTGATCCAACCTTGTTTGGGGCCCGCATCCGTGTTTCCATTCGGCTTTGTTTCATGTGACATGTTGATTCTTTGTCTACCAGGCACCCGTTGGAAACATGTAGTACCAAGCTGGGTTTTCCAACGTCTATCCATATAAGGTAAATGTTGGACTTTCACTGATATAATCATGGTTGGTTTTATGCCCCATACCAGATACTCTTACTTCGGTAACAATCCAAATTTATCATCATATATTCTTCCACGTTAAAAGTGCCATGGGTAATGTACATGCAAAAGAATTTGGGGCACTTATGGGTTTCCCATTTTTCCCAAGTTGATTCGAAATAAATGTTTACACCAAGCAATATTAAAGGGGTAAGCTCGGTAATGTGAACCCCCAGTCCAAAATCCTCTCTTCCAAAAAATTGACTGTTATAAAGAGGGGATATGATAAATCACCCCAGGCAATTGTAAAGGCATATACATTATACCGTCACAAGCTGGGTGGTTTATTGCGGTTTACCCACCTAAGTAATTCTAGGGCTCAACCTGCCGTGGCTCCCAGGCAAAGCAGCCGAGAAGCGCAAGTTAGAGAAGGCCTCCGCAAAGGCCAAGCCAGCCGCAGCCAAGAAGCAAAAGCAGGCCTTGCAGGCGCAGCCGGCCAAAGAGGAAACGGAACCCGTTCCAGAGGAATGGCCGGAAGATGATGACGATGTGGAGGGATTGGAAAATGGTTCCGATGGTCCAGATGATGATTTGGATGGTGATGATATGGATGAAGGTGAAGCTGAACCTTTCTTTTGAAGGTAGGATTTCGATGACAAAGGGTGGCAAATGTTTGACATGTCGAAAGCACATTGTACCATAGGGTGGTCCGGGTTCGATCCATATAGGGTGGATGTGTGCGCAAACAGCGCAACACGTGCAGGGGACATGGATCGATCACAGCTTGGCGGAAAAAACCTAGTGATCTTTCAGACCTTCGATTGAATGAAAATAACCTGGTTGTTTGGTTCGGCGACCAAGCCATCTAGAGATCTAGAATGTCATGGCTGTGAAAAAACATCCTGTGCCACGCTGGTGCCCAGTTGCGAGACAGCTAGAGTTGACTCCGTTACCAGGTGCTGAAAATTAAACAGCCTGACCACTCGCGCCTCATCGGGTTTTGAAGCGTGTGCCATGTTGATCTTGCACCTGCACGCATGGATGACCCCTTCAGCAAAGTCCTCATTAATTGGGAAACATGGCCCCCTTTGTACCTTGCATGCAGTGAATGCCAAAAGATTATAATTCCGACCTATGTGAGATGTCAACTGTCCATTATTTCTGGTAGCCATTCCTCCCAAGCCACGGCCCCATGGAAACTAGCGAAGGAACAGCTGTGCGGACCAGTGCTGATGTCGTTAAGACTTTGGTTCATGACTTCCTTGAAATGCTGGGAGATGGGGAGGCCGACCGTTTGATTCTGCATGATGTCTATTGGTTATTGTCAATATTGCCTTCAGGGATAGTTTTGGCCATCTGCAGGTTCAAATGAAGAGGCTACGGACCCTTTTATGCCCATCTCTCAGCTTCATTTCAACATGTCCCGAACATTCCATTGCATCGGTTGGACCCTGTTCTTGCTATATGGGGTGTGTATGAAAACTGGATCTGCTACCCAAATAACTACCCAAATAAACATTTCTTTTGATGACGATAATTAGAAAAAAACGAGCTTTTGGGGAAGCAAATTATTTTCAGGCACACCCACATATGTGGGCCCATCACCAAGACAACAATACGTTGAACACCCCTTGGACCAGGTCGACTGGAACGATTTCCACATGCTTTGGTTCCGCCCCTTCGCTTCAAATTTTGATCACCAACAAAACTGTTCAAGAGTGCAGGGTTGGAAGAAATAAAAGTTTCACCTCGAGTGATTCCCACCATCTGACATATATTCTGACAGTTTTATTTGACATATGTGTGTGTATATCTATATATATATCTCTCTATATATAATATATCAATATATAAAAGGGACATATTCCCCCAAAGATCGAATCAAACGATGTGATCTAGATGCAGTAAACACTTCGAGTGATGTGGAAGCACAGGTCGTCAGTGCTTGAGCTGATTTCCTCCTTGCGTGGCGCCCAATCCAGTTGGGGTCCTACCAGAATCCTGGAACGTTGGGCATATGCCCAGCCTTGGCGTAGCTCTTTTGCAAATGGAAGTTTTAAGTGCTAGGGTCACTGTTCGAACAAAGCATTCTCATCGATCAGAATCAAAGCGTTTACACTTTGCAAGTTACTCTTAGGAAAGGCCTTACCAGAACCATTCCTGTCTCTTGCCTGGAAAACCACAGGCCAGTATGTCAGTCTACCGAAGTTCACCTCAAGTGTATTTAGATTATCGGATTGCCTTGGAAGTATCCAGCCCTTCAAGGATTGATGTGCCAGTATACTATGAGGACGCCATGGGTGAACAGGAGAAAACCGGATGGCATGCTATCTTGCTTCCACACGAAATTGTGGGCTCCATGCACTCCTTCCCACATATGGATCTCATGAGCAGATTGATTGGTGACCCTGGCGTTTCCCGGTGGCAAAATACTTATTATGCCTACAAAGTTGAAATCTCACAGAAAGGAACCATGCGCCCATTTGAAGTTGGTATTCGATTTTCTGAAACATAAATGGATGTGTGTGTATATATATAATACATATATATACTTACATATGTTTATCTATTCTTATTCACGTCCTAGTGGATGTATGTATACGGATGTCTTCAAAATATGCTTTGTACATCTGTATGAAAAGTGGTTCATACATATATACTTTCGATCCTGGTGGGAACCAACCTAATGTTATTTTTAATCGTCGGGATTTTTTTAAATATTGGTTCGATCCTGCCGCCCAGGACTTAGAAGAATTTTGGTCGCACGAGGTGACAACGGAGTGGTTCAAAACGCACCCTATCCTTCAAGTGACTTGGCGGGGATTGTCGAATAAATGCCATCGGGTGCCTGATCGTTTATATATATATGTCCCCATTCATTAAGGTGACAGACCCTGGTTGGGTGATACCTCTGCGATTATTCGGAGATGGTGCCGAGAGCTATAGTCCCTTGCCAAAAACATATTACACACAATCATTCGCTACATCCATATGTTGGAGTTTGTCTCATGGCTGAAACCCTATGTAAGGAAAACACAAATTCGAAATCCTGACGCTGGTCCTGCCTCTTGCAAAGTCGTCCAGCACAATGGATAACAGAATATTGCCCCGTGGCCTCAGCAACATGTTCTTGCCAGTGAGCCAATTCATAACAGAATTCATGTGTTGGAAAAACCCACTGCTAGATCCCGCTAGGTTATCTTGTATGAGCGGATCCTATTGCAACGATGACTCGCGGAAGCTGATCCTCCAAACATTGGCTTGGAGTTTCAACTGTTTAAGTACTTTTGTTGCAAGCGGATTCCATATGTTGGCACGCTTGACTATGCCCAATTCATTTTACTGGGTGAACATATTTGTTCTGGGCTTAGGCAGTGGTCTCTACCCATATGATGACCCTTGGGGAAGATCTTTCACAAAGGACTACTGCAAGAGCAGGTGGGCCCTGAGAGGGCAGCCCATTGCAGCTGGTTACCGTGCCATCTTGGAGGGACTCCAAGGGGACCAAGATTTCATTAGAATTCTTTTCTCCCCATCCCGTGACTGGAATTGATTTTTGATTTGAACTTTTACGGAACGAAGAATGGTTCAGAAACTATATGGGGATATTTTTTTAAAGTTAAATTGGTCATGTCCCAAATTTGTCATTGCTATGGCTCAACCCCCCCAAACAAACTTTTGGGTTCGTTTCCCAAGACATGTAAGGATTTTTCTCGCGTCAATTCTGCTGTTATTACTGCAGAGCCGTTCAATGGGTCTATGAGGATGAAAACCAGGAATTGGCTGAGTACTTGTACACAAATTTTGGGCGACAAGCACCCCACAGGAACACGTACCAAAGCTGTATTTAAGATTCATTTTTCTTGGGTGATGTTTGGTACCTGCAAAAATGAGGTCATGATGTTTTTTCGAAACCAACTCATTTAAGGCTAGTCACCCTCGAAGAATGGCTGGATGTGAATGGCCATACTCCGCTCACGACCATTGACGGCTGGTCCCCGTGGCGACCCCAAGCGCAACCATTTGGTTTTGAAGTTTTTTTCCCTGTGAAAAAATATATGTGTCCAAATCCTCCAGTAGCCCAAACCTGTTTCTGGGTTCTGCGAGCTAAGGAATCTTTCCGGATGTGATGCATATTACCCATCTGGCTTTGGCAACGGATGTGATAACTTCGTGCCTTCTCGATTGGACTGACGACGGATTGTATTATCCTGGAACTTCCCGGGGCAGACGCCTTTCTGAGTTATGGAACAGTTACCGAGGCTGGTGTGAAACTCAAGACTTTGCCCTTGGTGACAGGGCCCAAAGGAAGTTGTTCACGTCCAATGTGTTGAGGCCAGAAAGTGGGAAATACGTTGAGATCAGTGAAAAAACATTAAACGCAACAGGGGCCCGCTACATGTTGTTCTGGCTGTCCAGCATTGCTAAGCAAATTGCTGAGTGGTCACACACAGATCAAGATATGTATCTTGGTGGTTCAGGTGGGGTTCAATTTTCTTTTTGAATTAGCACCCCAAGACAACACGAGCAAAGGGAACCCCTGAATGTTTTTTTGGGATGGCATTCTCAAGCTACCCCAGCGCTAGGCCATAGACCCAGACAAAACATGTGACAAATTCAGTGCTTTATGTGCAATACATTGACAGACCGTTTGTCGTCTATGAGTCGCTTTGTTTCCCACCAAGGGATCTGGTGATCCCAGTTTTGGGCCTTTTTCAGCATAAAAGAAAACTGAAACTGCTGTGATGAACTCTATTCGAAAAAACTGCTGTAACGGATTCTGTTCTGTACGCGCTGAGTAAAAACAGTGGTTCACGGAATGAAATGACAAAAACTGCAGGTACGTGGAGTTGATCAGATTCCATATCCTAGTCTACTGCATGGAGCTTCGCTGGCGACAGCCATTCAGCGACTCTGTCACCCCTGCCAGTGAATAGTTAAAACTTGGACACCGGAGTAAGGCTGCTTATAGCCCTTTGGTACAGGGGTTGCCTCCACACACTTGTAAGACAGAATGTCTGTTCACGAGGCTCATATATATATATATCTCTCTCTCTCTCTGTTAGTGAATGTGCTCGTGATAGGCCATTGTACTCAAACATGTTTAAAAATTTCCAATTGAGTACGGTCGCCGCTGTGAGTGAATCACAGTATTCAAAGTCGAAATGGCATGATAGCAGGTGCATCTGACTGATCAGGTCAGATATCACCAGCCTTCATCCAGTGTCTTTGTTGGTGCAAGACTGGATGGGCTGCTTGCACCCCCTGCCCTAAAATTGAAAAATTGAACCATTTGCAAATTTGTAAGCCCCTTGGAAATACACACGCACATTTTATGTATGCATGAATGCATATATGCATATACACCACTTACGAAACAGATTGCAGTTTTTTCTACAAAAGGACAACTATATTTATATTGTGTTGCTGCCAAGAAACTGCAATACCTCTCTACTATATTTGTTTGGTTTCTTTTCGCCTCCCATGCCAATTTGCTTTGACTGCTAAGGTACAGAGCTGGAGCCGCTGCTGGTTTGGCGGAGATGGAGCGGGTGATGTTGCAGAGCGACCGGTTTCACACCCCATCTGAATGGCGGCAATTCGAAGAGGCCTACTTGGTTTATAGGTCTGCCAATATGAAGTTGGGTGCTTTGGCCCTTGAAAAGTGCCAGCTACGATGGCGCCAGCGTCCAAAATCTCATGCCCTAGAGCATGGTGTCTATGATTTCAGCATGAGAAATTTGAGGTACACATCAAATTACCTGGACGAAGATTTCGTTCGTCGGTCAAAGCAGCTGGCAGTGAAATCCAGTCCCAAGTTTGTTTCCAGGCATGTGCTGTTTAGATACAGCATAGCAGTCACTTTACGATGGACGGGCATGGGGCCACAGTGAAAACAAGTGTCTTTGCGTTTGAGACCGTCCAAGTAATACAAAACACATGCAAAATGCGTCCACCATTCTTGTAAAGGGATGTCCATGTATTTTTGGACGTGCTCGGGGTGTGTGCACTGACGTCGGATACAAGTATCTATAAGTATAGAATAGCATATAGAAGAAAAACCCAGGAAAGCCGGTTGGCGGAAGTTTCCTCTCCCCCTTGATGTTTTTCTGTTGGAAAAATAGGAGTTTAACGCAGGCGTGTTCTTTTTTCGGCACGGCAACCCTGATAAACAGCAAATTTGCGCAAAAATCGCATGAACCAAACCTGGCTCGAGCTTTCGACGTGGCAGTCGCAGTACTTTGACAAGACTTTTATGCAATTATGTGGGAAACCCATTGCCATGCGGCATGGCCCAATCTTTTGGCAATGTCCATGCAGCACTAGCGCGCTGGCACCGGCGCCTTAAGTTAGCACCGGCACTTTGGCTGAGCCCCCGGTAATTGGCACCGGCTCCTTTTTTGGCACCGGCTCCTTTTCTGGCACCGGCATCTTAGTGATGCCTGTTAACCCTTCTTGGTTGTCTCACCTCGACATTTTCCGCAGCTTTCAATCGGCAGTTCGAGCTCATTTTGACCTATTATCTCGTGGCCCTTTCTACATCATGGCGTCCCAGGACCTGATCTCCCAATTCAGCGCGGATATGAATGGAATTCCTCCTTCCCAGCCCGACCGCTCTCGCACACCTCCTCGTCATCAACATGGATGGCACCAAGCAGTACCTGCGTTCCGTGGCCCGATGCACTATGCAATGACGACCCATCGACCTTTTTGGAACCCATCCGGAATACCGCCTCCACCACCTACATCTCCATCGTTCCCAACACGCCCACCATGGACTCCACCTACGACACCTTTTCCGCCCACACCGCCTCCGTGCTCACAGACACCTCCCAACAATGCCAATTTTGCACCTCAACGCCATCCTTTTACACCGAGATCACCAAGATCTATGTCATCCCCGGGAGCAAGTTCTACTGTCAACGAAGGATATACATGCAGACCAATTGAAATCCCACCAGTGGAGCAATGGAAACCTGATGTTGACTTCCACGACTCCAACAAGATCAATGGTTTGGACTTTCCCTCCAGAATTCGACAGAGCAGATTTTCAAGCTACAAGGACATTGAAGGGATGGATCCTTTACAAGTCCCACTCTGGAAGTTCTTGTACCAGGGCTTGCACAATACCTGGCTTCGTCGGGTTGCATACGGAAGAGAAACCTTCGTCCTTCCGTTTGACAACATCGGCACTACAGTATTTGTGGCTGAATTGGTATCACAACTGCGCACCCGCAATGTGGATTTGGACAAACTTGCTACCTTTCGAGCTCGCTCGGCAGGCCAATGTCTCAACCAGAAGGAAGCAACCCAAAACATGGCCAAAGACGTTGCTCAACTTCTCCAATCTTGGCTCCCGACTCAACCATCTGCGGACGTGGCGAGCCAACAACGCATTCTTGAACTGGAGGCAGAACTGGCCAAGGTCAAATCGGCCGGCACTACTTCACCGGGTACGGCACCTCAGGGCTCTACTCCGGCCACGACACCGATTGGACGCGCACTTCAAGGACAACCTGCCGCCTCTACGACCTTCGATCCTTCGACTCTACTTATCTCGCCGGGCTCCGTGAACACTTGGCTCGTTGACAATCAACCCACGTCATTATCGGACACCCAATACACAAAGTGGGTGAAAGCCCTAAAGCTACCACAGCCCAAGCAGGACATCCTGGAGAAGAACTTGGAGAAGGTCAACGAATGGTGGCAAAACCAACCCGATGATGCTTCAAAAACTATCCAACGCGCAAGCGTGGCTATGGGTATCGACCCATGCAAGCACAAAGGGGCCTCCACGGATGAAGTCGTCCTCAAGGTCATGACTGTGGCGTTATTGATGCACTCCTGACTAGCAGCGTATTTGAAAGCACCTGGCTCAAAAGCAGCCAACATTATGCGAACTTTGGCCGTGGCTCATTCCTGTATTCTTGTTCTTGCACTATTGACTCCCTTCACGTTGTCCCCTTCTGTTGATGTCTTTTTTGCTTTTCGGATGCTCCAAACGGTATTGATGGGCCAATATGTGTTATTACATCCACGGGCCAATCCGAAACTCCAAGCCTTGCTCAAAGGCACTCCGATGCAGAGTATTTTCTTTTGCAGATCCTGGGATGACTTGTCAGTCGCCCTCCAATGTTTCAAGCATCCTCAGGCGGTGTATATTCGTTTTTGCCACATTGCTAATTTTCAACCCAAGTTTTATGTTGGTTCCACGTCGTCGTTTGTTTTGGACCGCGAACACTCTCGCTATCGGAAATTTCTGCAAGTGCAACAACATAAATTCGTGCTGGCCGAAGTTGCCTTACGGTTTTGGTGCAGATTTGACAATTTCTGGATGTGGTCTGTTTTCCCGATCTACACCAATAAATCCAACTTTTGGGCCTTGGAACAGGCCTTAATTCAATTGTGGCAACCTCGATTGAACACTCCGTTCATTTACCAGTTTTTCAATTGCCGAAAGGGACTCATTGCACGTACCAAATTTTCCGCCTCCCGACAATTTGGAGCATTTTCCTTGTGGCGGAAACTTCGCTGGCGATCTACACCCCATCATGTTCGACACGCTCTTCATAGTCCTCTTTTCCATCGACGAGTACAACTTTGGGAGATTATTCAGGATTTGGGCAGTAACTCCGTACGACGCTTCCACATGGAGAAGAAACTACGATCCAACGAAATTGGAGTCCAAGGCTGCTACTTTATCCGACGTCTTGCCAACAACCTAGGAGAACCCCAAAGGTCGTACGCCATCAATGCCATTGACCGAGCTTTGACCTTCTGGAAGGCCAAACGAGTCAGAAAACCGGTTCCTCTTCGTGCGCCTTGGTTACTATGCCCCAACTGGACTCGGGATCTTCGACGGCTGCTCACCTTCCACGTTTGTCAAACTCGACATTACAACACCACATTGCAGACTCCTTCCACGGCGATTGTCTTCACAAAGTTCCCCTCGGTGATGGATAGCTTGTGCAATCACAAAGAAGCCGCTACAAAATGGGCTGATGGCGAAACCCCAAAGTGTGCCTGTGATGCCTTGCGACCTCATGCCCTTCGTGCTCTCCAACCCGATCACCACCTGGTCCTGGACGGCGACAACCTACATTTCGATGATGGCCCACACACATCCATTGCGACTGGTTCGCTTCAAAACAAAATCTTCCCACCTTCCAAAGAAATCCAGACATCGCTTCGCCTGGCTCTGCGGACGTGGACTACCCGGAACTCACTTCCTTCCTTACAAAAGTCCCATATTGATGAGCTTTGGCATCGTTCTATTCAATCCCACTACCACACACTCAACAACCACATCACTCACAAAGACATCGGCCGCTTCAAACGCCTTTTTCCAGAAGCCGTCTTCCACAACGAGGACAAGCGAGCTACATCCCTACGAATCTACTGCCCCGTACTCTACTTCCAGTGCCTCACCACCACCTTCGCCGACCCGTTGGTATTTCGCAAATTGGAGCAAAGCCCGAGTGACATCATCGAGCGGACCATCGCCGAGATCAACCGCCATTTTGGCAAAGCATACCCATGGGCACTTGGTGCTGGACGAGACCTGCCGAATGCCTATGTTCTACCCAAACGGAAGAAACAGTTCAAGGCCGGACGACCCATTGTCAGCTTCTTCACGGCACCTTTCCGACCTATGTTGAACTGCACTGCCAAGCTGATCTACAACCTTCTACCCCAAGCGTTTCCCCACAACCTGGCAAGGGGTGATGTATTTGATCTCATCAAGCTCCTCAAGGACACCGACTTTGATTCGCTCCCCACTCCTCGAATACACAACCAAGATCTTGCGGGCTTTTTCACAAGCATTGACACTGACCGCTTCATCGCTAGCTGGCGACTGACCTTGCAGTTCCTCTCGACCCTCATGAACACCGACCCTGACGAGATCATCTCCGTGAAGGCAACTCCGGGCAACAACACAGGGGACGTGGTCAAAGGCCGCACATGCCGTACACTCAATGTGACCAGGAAGATCTTCATTCGGGACATTGAACGCATCATCCTCATGTCTTTGAAGATGACTCAATTCTCCATTGGCACTACGGTTTTTGAACAAATCCGAGGATCCCCTATGGGCTCCCCTCTGAGTCCAGCATTGTGCATGATGGTTGTCGCACTGTCTGAAGAAATCTGGTACCGAACCTACCGCACCACCCTTAGCAACATGGATCTCACAGCTCGCCTCCTTCGCTATGTGGACAACAGACTGTGCTTGTCGGACCCCGGCTGGGACTACGAAATCTGCTTCGCCAATTTCCTCCACCCGGAGTTCTACGGCCATCCTATCATTTTGGAAACGGAACCGGACCAGGAGTTCTTGGGCTTTTGCATCGAGTTCGAGCCTTTTGCCCTTCGCTACAGCCCTCCACGCGACTTCAACCAGGTCATGGCGCCATTCTCCGCATCACCTTTGGCCGTCCAACTTTCGGGTTTTGTTTCACGATTATTTCTGGTCGCCAAATGCGCGCACCCTGCACGAACGAACACGAGGTTTTGCCGCATTGCACCGTCTGTACAGATCTGCAGGTTTTACCGAGTCCGATCTTGTCGCTGCCGCCAAGCCGATTCGTCAATACTTGCACGTTTCCTCATTGTGGTAAAATCCTGAACCGTCCTGCCGCTGGCGCTTACGTTTCATTATTCACATCTTGCTGAACGTTTCACCTATTTGGACCATATTAGAATTTATTTGATCTTGGAATAGTGCTTTTCCAGCTGGCTTACCCTCAAACTCGGCTTCATTTACTTGTTGGCCCATATTCGACGCATTGTCATGGCTTCCTCGTCTCCTACGACGTCAATTCCGATTCAAGAACCAGTGTTTCTTCAATTTCTTCATGATGTTCACCATGCTTACCTTCTACTACATCGAGCA